CTTTGACAGCTTTGACTACAATGGTAAAATGAGATGGGTGCTGCCTGAATTTGTGTCAGGAGAGGTTTAGGTTGGATATTAGAAAAAGGTTCTCCATACAGAGGATGGCTGGGCACTGGAACAGGCTCCCAAGGAAAGTAGTCACAGCACCAAGCCTGACAGAGTTCAAGAAGCATTTGGACAGTGCTGTCAGGCACATGGTGTGACTCTTGGGGATGGTTCTGTGCAAGGCTGAGGGTTGGACTCGATGATCCTCGTGGGTCTCTTCTGACTCAGCATATTCTGTGATGCTGTGAATCCTTCAGATTTAGTCCTGCATGAAGCGTGTGATGAGCTGGGGTACTCATTGGCCAGTGTGCAAATCCCCAGGCTGCATTAGGTCATCCATTACTGACCACTCTGAGATGAGACAGTCGTCCTGTGCAGGAAGACGCCCTAAAATAGGTGAAAGACTGCCTGAGGAGATGTAAGTGCACTCTAAGGGTAATGACCATGACTGGCTTTTGACAACTCATCCAGAAGTGGAAAATGGGGTGCACTTTGCAGAGATATGCTCTACAGGGAAGGAGATTGGGTTTCCCAGGCTAGGCATTTGCCAGAATGGAAGCGAGACTGTAAGGAAGGCAAGTTCATGTTCAGAGGTGAAGTGATGGATAAGACTGCTCCATGCAGGAAGGGAAGGCAGGAGTAGAAGCAGGCATGGGCAGGTGTTTGCCTGTCTTGAAATACTGAGAAGACCACTGAATCTGAAGTAGTCATGTCAGATGAGGAGAACCTCTAGCTAAAATAGGCAAAAAAATGAGGACTTTGGGTGGTCTGAGGAGTTGGCTCTGTGATCTGCAGCCACGCACTTCCTGAGAGGTTGGGTGCAGTGGGAGATGCCATCCAGACACTGCTGCTAGAGCAAAAACAAGAACTAGTGCAAATGGGCCTGGCTGATCACTGGGTGTGAACCAGCAATTGCAGTCCATAGGGGACGTTTTGTTGTCTGGCCAGACAAAGCTGTACCTGTGATGGAAGACTGCAAATCAAACTGTACGTGGTGGAAACGGTGAGCCCTGAGCACCCCGCTGTCACCTGATGCCTTAATCCATTTACATGGATGAGTGTAACATTACATTAGCACTAAATGTGCTAATCAGCTCACAGCAGAAGTGCTGATAAAAAGGTGGTCTTTTTAATCCAAAGTGTATTTTTATTAATTAATTTATTTATTTAATATGGATTTTATCGAGTTGCAAGACAAAATGGCCTGTATGAATCTCATAATTTATGAGGCCACATGGTGGTTTTTGCTGCTGTGAGTTTTAACTTAGCTACAGGTATTCCTCCAGCAATAAATAATACATATTTATTTCCAGTTGAAATCAAAGTTGCAGAAAACTCACCTGTAGCCCAGCAAAAGGTGTTTACAACAGTCATCTCACAAGAGCAACTCTGCAATAGTAGCTCTTAGAACACTTTCCTCTAGGGCCTGGTTTTCTCTTTTAGAATACTATATGATAAAGACAATTCTAAGAAGAAAACACTGAAATATGTTGTTCACTCAGATACATTTCCAGGGTATGTCAAGAAAATATTGGATTGAAGCAATTAGCAATGTTCTTGCTTTCTCCATGTTCCAGGAAAATTAGAAGCTACGCTCTACTTTCACCACTCAACTTTTGTTTACTTTATTTCATCCAATGTTTTCCTGGCAGCCAACCGAAAGCTGGAGTTGTTTCCTAGTTGTATCAGCAAGGAGTGTTTTGCAATCCAGTGTGAATAAATAGGATTTTTTGGTGACTTTTAAAATAATCCCTGACGTGCTGCTATTTAACCTAAAAATTTTACTTAGAAAATAAAGCAATAGAAATGGATATTCACAACCTATATTAAAATTGTAGTATTGAGCTTTAAACAGATGATGGTCATGGAATGATCAGGCATGACTTTTGTATCTCCTTGCTTCGGGGGGAAAGGAGAAAGAAGTCTGTACCAGGTGATGGTTCTCATTACCTGTGGGAGCAGACTGCTCCAGAGCTTCATGTTTTGCACCCTAATCACAACTACTGGATATTGGAACAGAGGGATTTTTTTCCTGTTTTTTTTTTTGGTTTTTTTTTTTTTTTTTTTTTTTTTTTTTTTTTTTTTTTTTTTTTTTTTTTTTTTTTTTT